GGTTTAGCCTGAGGGTAGATTTAGCCCCACGTTGTCTGGTGGGGCTGGTGCCTCTCCAGAGCCCACCACGGTGCTGGGATTTTGCACGCCACTGGTGGGGTGCAAGCAACAGCCCTGAACTGGACGGGGATGTGCAGGAGGAAATATCCAGTGGTAGGGCAGAGATTAGCCGAGCCACTGCGGAGCCTGGGAGGGTTAAGCTGGCGTGAAACACCTTTGGTTTCTGGAGCGGGAGCAAGGAGCCAGAGGACATCCCGCTTGGCAGAGGGGCTGGGATGCGGGGGATGTTTGCAATTAGCTTTCCCTGTGTGATAAATCTGCCTGGGGCCTTGGAGAGCATGAACAAGTCAATGTAGGAGGCAGCTTTAATGCTGTGGTGGGAGGTCGGCAGCTTGGCTGGTACCGTGCTCTTCAACCTCGTATCCATGCAGGTACGAGGAACTGAAGATGTTGGCTGGAGGCCTGAAGGCTGAGGCCGACGGGATGGCCTCCGAGGCAGACGAGGCTTATCAGGGCAGCCTGGTGCTCCTCAGCTCCCTGTCCCGCCTGACGAAGATCGACATCGGGTCCTTTGAGGTGAGGGCTTTGTGCCTGTGGGACCAGGAGATCCCCTTTTGCTCTCCCCTACGCCCTCCCTGCTACCCTGCCAGCAGCTCAGACCTTCCCAGAGCCCCATCCCCGTTGGAGAGCCATTGGATATATCTTCCCACCCTTTTGCCCCTGTAGCCGGCCGCAGCACAAGGAGCAAGAGACCATCACTGCTTGCCATGGTTGCCGGCGAGCACCAGGGAGATGCTGGGACCCCCAGGCAGTCATCGCATCTCTGTGTTTCAGGGGGAGGCGACCCGGCTGAAGCAGGACGCCAGTGCTTTCCTGAGCCTGGTGGACACCTACATGGCACAGCACAGGCAGCTGCGGAGCCGCGCGGGGCGCTGGGAGGAAGAAATCAAGCAGCTGCTGCGAAGGGGAGAGGGCGAGAGAGCGGTAAGCGGTTGGCTGGAGGGCTGCGGCTTGAGTCGTCTTCAGTGTGAGCTGGAGCCTCGGTGGGATGCCCGTGGCACCACCGCTACTATGTGCTGGCCCAGAGACGTAGCTCTGCCCACCTGCTGCAGGATAGTAGCCCTCCTCAGAACGCAGTCACTTGGGGTCGGTCTTCTGGAGCCGGTGGGAGACCTCACCGTGTGCGCGGAGCTGCTGGTGCAGGGTCTCACCTGCACATCTCCTCTGTATGAGGCAGGTTGAAGACCTGCTCCTGGAAAGATTAGAGCTGAGATGACTCAGGATGGCTGGAGCTGGTTGAGGAGCACCAGTACAAGCCTCTGCCGACAGATCAGGCTATGGTAGCCTTGATTCAGGGGCAATAGCAGGCGTTCAGGAACAGGTTGATGGGTCTTCTCCCCCAGCGCGTCCCCTTGCAGACTGCTCCGGGACTGCCCGATGCTCCCGTACCGTGTCCTTCATCTGCCCGTTGTGTCCCTTTGGCCTGTCACAGACGCTGACACAGCTGCTGTCCCGAGCCAACCTCGCCAGGAGCACAGCCCTGCAAGCCGTGAGTGCTGGCAACGCCACCTTCTACGAGGTGGAACAGATCCTGAAGAGCCTCCGGGGTAATGTCCTAGAAACCCTTCCTCTCCCCTCCCTTGTGGGATCTCGCAAGGGTAGAGCGGCTTTATTTCCACATGCGTTTCTTTCAGAGTTTAACCTGCAAGCAGATGACAAGAGAAGGGAAGCTGAAGACGCCATGAGGAGACTACCAATTATCAGCAGCATGGTCTCAAGTGCCAGGGAGAAGACGGACCGAGCCAAAGCGATCCTGGGCAGCGCCGCTTCCGAATCCAAGGCGGCCAGCAGCGCGGCAGGGGAAGCAAAGAAGATCACCATGGGGATCCAGCAGGTAAGGACAAGCTATTGCTGGCAGAAAAGGGTTCGGAAGGGAAAACCATGGAAGAAGAGGAGATGGTTGGCAACTTCACGGTGGACCAATGTGTTGACTTTTGCACCTGATGCGTTGACTTTTGGGCTGATGTTTGTCTACAGTGGATCCTGCAGATACCAGAGTTGGCTGTAGATGAGTGGGTGTGTGTGGATCTCTGCAGGCACGTTCGTCCCGTGAGGATCTCTGTGGCATCTCACTGTAGCCACCTTTTGGTGGCCAAGGGGATTTTTCCACTTCCGCAGTCTGAGTCACTGGCAGGCTTGTGAGCTCCCAGAATTGGTGTTGGTGGGTTCAACTCCCAGATGTGCGTTGCAATTCCCCAGGGATTTGCTGATGTGTGCAGAAGGGGTTGAGCCATGGTCATAGAAACAACTCTCTGGAGCAACTGGTGGGAGAACAGAGAGGACGCAGGACAGCCTGCGATAATTTTGGGTCCCTGTAGAAGGAACCAGTTTCCACCAGCTGTGCGCCCTGGTGCACCCAGACTGATTTCAGCCATGCTCTGCCCCTCTGATCGTGCCTTTGCCTTCCCTAGGAGATTACGCGGCTGAAGGTGGAAGCCAACAAGACCGCCGATGGTGTCCTCGCCCTGGAGAAGGCAGTGGCCGCCCTGCAGCGTGAGGCCAAGGAAGTGGATGGTGAATTTGAGAGGAAGCTCTCGGAGGTTGAGGCGGATGCTGCTGTGATACAGGAGGTGGGTCCCTGTCTCCTTCGCCTTGCCCCCTTCCCTGTTGCCTTTTGGGCTAGACTTCACCTTACAGCTGCCACCTTGACTTCTTCAGACAGCTCAGGAAGCTCAGAGGGTCCACGCCAAGGCTGGCCAGGCAGGGGTGATCGTGCAGGAGACGTTGAGTGCCCTGGAAGAGCTGCTGCGTCTGATGAGTAGGTTTTGCGACGCTGCTGGAGGGCGTGGATGGAGACAGGTCACTGCTGGGGTCTAGGCAGGGGTGCTGGGAGTTTAGCGGGAAGCTGCATCAGATGATGCCTGTAAGTGGGCTGGGCAGCAGGATGGAGATGAAGTATCTAGAAAGATCTGGTCCTCAGCCTCCATCCATGGTTCCCTCTTCCTTGTTTTCCTCCTGTGCAATAGACCAGCCTGGTGCTGTGGATGAGGACGGCCTGAAGCAGCTCGAGATGAATTTTAGCAAAGCCAAAACCAGAAGCAACCAGCTGAAGGATGAGATGTCGGAGCTGGAGCAGACAGCCGCACTGCAGAAGACCCGAGTCCGGACGCTGGAGAGCAGCATTGATGAGATCTTGGCGGATATTAAGAACCTGGAGGATATCCAGAAGAATCTTCCTCCAGGCTGCTACAACACAAAAGCCATTGAATTGCCATGAGCGAGCTCTGGAAAGGCTGCAGCGCCTGCCAGGCTGAAGGCAGGAGAGCCTGGCCCAGCTGCCCTCCCCAAACCTGGCAGGACTGGCTTCATTTGATTGTGTTGAACTGATCCTTACCCTCAAGTTCAGCGAAGTTCGCATCATCACGCTGGCTCTGGAGAGTCCCTCATTTTTCAAAGTGGTCCGTCCCTCGGAGACGCCTGGTTGCGTGAAGGTGCTACTGGCTGAAGAACAGCCCATTCCTCCAACATTTCTCTGAGGTGCAGGTGGGCGTTGCTTGGTGTCAACCTTGGGAGTTTGCACAGTTCAAAGCCTGAAGTTCATGGCTGAGAGGTTCTCCACTCCCTGTGGATCCCCTTTCCACCACCACCTCCTCCTCATATTCTCCACGGGGTCTTCAGTAGCTCAGGAGGCAGGGAGCGGGCAACGTGAAGAGGCAGCTGAGGGAGATGAGTTTTGAGCTGTGGCACCAGTGATGCTTCACATGGCTTTCTCCTCCCAGCCTGCCCAGTCCTCATCTTGCTGGGAGTGGTGCTGGCATGGGTTTGCTGGGGCTTAGAGATTTGGCATCAGACGCCACTGATGACCCTTTTCATAAGCTGCAGGTCTTCCACGGTGCTTCTCAGTGAGGTGGTTACTGGTTTGCTAAAGGGGAGGGGGGCAAAAAAAGCTGCTGGCTGCCTTTGAGCTCACAGTGATGCGCTGGCTGGAGGAAGAGGGGGGTCCCACGCCAGCAGGTTAGCAGAGAGAACTGCCGGGGCTCCTGAAGTGGAAAGTCTTTCCTGCTCTACCTGCTCCCTTCAGCCGGGAGGAGATGGTCCCCTTGCTTTCTCCTGCACTTCTTTTCAAGTCCCTGAGGGAAGGCTTTCTTGTCAAAGCTCCTCCTGGGCAAGCGCAGGTCTCCTTACCATCCTCTAACAAGCTCAAGCACAACCTTTCCTTCCAAGACCCATCAGTTTGGTACCAGGCAGCTTCCTGGGTGTCCCAGAGCCCAGGAGAAACAAGGTGGTGTCCCCTCTGCAGAAGCACCCAGGACCCTGCAGCACTTGTCACGGCAATGGAGGCCGTCTCCAGGGGTCTGCAGCCACGAGCTCTCATGTCTGAAGGCCTGATCCCATCCTGCTGTAGTGCCAGCACCCTGATTTGAATGGTTTAAAAAAATATTGAAGATGTCTTGAGCGTGTCTCCGCCTCTGGTTTGGTGCTGCCCGTTGCCCCTTCCTCCCTCCCTCCCTCCTGGGTGGTTTCTCAGAGGCTTAACTAGTTGTCCAGAGGGGTTTCCCACCCTACATCTGAGCAGAGCTTGGAGGAGCTGAAGACCACAGTGCTCCCTTCACCCACCTGCAGCTTTCCCGCGGGTCCAGCTCCGTTCTGACACCACTCCCAGCTTAGATACCATTTGGGGGAAAAAAAGAGCTGGCAGATGCTGGAAGTCAACTCTGCTGAAGTCCCCTGACCTGTGTGGTGGTGAAAGAGGAGGTCCTGGATGGAGGAGGACGCTTTGGGGGACTCACTCACCCCTCGTTAGCTCTGATTCTCTGATAAAGCAGCTCCCACGCTTTTGCTTGATGAGGATATACCAGGTACTATGTCTGCCTTTTATTTAAGCGAGATGTATTCTTGCCTCTGGCATGTCTTCCTTCTCCCGTTGTACAGCATAGGGACAGGTATTATGGACCTGACTTTATTTTTCCACGAGCTGGGTTTTTTGAAAGGGGGGAGGTCAATAAATAACGAATACTTTTGGCTGGATCTTGCCTACTGGTTTATTTTCTCTAGCTCCCTGTTTCGGGTGAGTTTGGCCATCAGTTCTCCCAGCAGTGCAGCCGCTTGCTCTCTTCGTGCTGACTCGGTCTTTGGGCTGTTTTGAAATGACACCAGTAACATCTTTGTTTTGTTTTGTTTATTACATAATTTAAACATTTTGCTGATAAAGTTTTTTTGTCAATGACCGTTTTTTTCATAGAGCAACAGAAGGAAAAAAAAAAAAATAGGCTCCAAAACTTTTGACAAAGGTGAAATCGCTGGCATGGCAACTTCAACCCTTTTCCCTCCCCCCCTTTATTTTTTTTTTTTTTTTTTTCCCCCCAAAAGGCGTTTGAAGTTCATTTCTCTTTCAGCAAATTGCACTGTTTAAAAGTGGAGGTTCAAAGACCAAAACCCACGAGCTTCTTCCCACCCCTCCCCTGCACCCTGGAAACCCCGGTCCTCACCTCCCCGGCGGTCGCATGGGTCTTCAGGGATAATTTTTTTTTTTTTTTTCCCATACCCACACAAAGACATTTTCCAAACCAGTCCCAGAGCTGAATGACCTGTTACAAACCCCCCGTCCCACCCCCCCGTACCGTGAGTTTTACCGAGCGGATACACGAAGGCGCAGGTAAGACTAGTAAGACAGAATATACTCATCATCCGTACCACAACGCTACGTCTCTAAGGCATGCCGTCCTAACCGCGATGGGACGGGAAGCCTGGCTTCCCCTGCGTCCCATCTCACGTACCTGAGGGAGGGAGGGAGGATTTGAGATGCCTCTCGGACGCGCCGCCTGCCTTGCTTCTCCATCTCCTTTGTTTTATTTCCCTGTGTCTTTTCCTCATGTAAAACCCACTGTCCTTCCTCCCCCTTCAAAGAGGCATCGCTCCCCCTCTCTATGTGTGTGTGTGTGTGTTTTGGAGGCTGGTTGCTACCGTTGCTTTTTCTCCTCCGGCTTGGAGCTAAGAAACATGGGTGGTGTCTGGCAAGGAGAGGAGGCTGCTGTCTGAAATAACTTCTGGGTTGGGATGGAGAGGAAGGAAAGACTGAAAAACTGAACACGTGAGAAAAACGGGTGGAGAGGAGTCTAGCTACTGGCTTATGTACGTTGGGTGTCTCATGGATGAGATGTCCCACCACGGGCACCTGCCCAGCGTGTTAGCTAAGGGAGCTCCGTAGGGTGTTGGTCAGCAGCTTGAACTGGCTGAAGACCTCCCTGGAGAAGAGGCGTCCCTGCACTCCAAGTCCCGCAAGCTCCTGCCACCCTCTCTGCTTTGGCATCTCTCTATCTCCTCACCCCATGGGGTACATACTCAACCACCTGGAGACACCAGAGCTGGCTCTGAGAGATTCAGCTGCTGAATTTATGACAGTTCCCAAACAAGCCTTACCACGTGGAGGGAAATCCCTGGCAAGGAAAGACCTCTTCTGGCCTTTGGGCAAGTCACATCACTTCTGTCTCTCTTGCTTTCCCTTTTGGGAAGGGCTGTACCCTCCTCGAAGTCGTTAGCTACTGCTCGTAAAACCCTTCCCGCTGCAAGGAGCACGTGGCTGTAGGCTATCTTGTTTTGTCCAAAGTTGCTTGCTGTTACAGAGATGCCAGCAGCACCCAGCAGGTCACCAAATTTAACTCAACGTCTCATCTTTGGAGCTTCCATGAGAGCAACTTGTGACCTTTCGTAGATGTTTAAGGAAAAAAAAAAAAAACACCAGGTAATTTCAGATCTTTCCCTGAAACACCCTGGAGGACTCTCAGCCTTCAGGTGTCTCAACGCAACACTGTCCCTTGCTGGGAACCAGCAGCTAGTCATAGCGCTGCCCTGGGAAAGCCACAAAGCCGGCATGGGCAATGGGTGTGCTTTGGGAGAGGGTGGTGGGGTGGGCTAGCCTGAGCCTGGTCAGGCAAATTTGTGGGGAGTGGGCAGATGTCCAGGAGCTATAGGGCAGCAGGGCTATACCCAAAGCGATACGAGGTTAGACGGAGCAAAGGGAGAGGAAAAGGTGAGGAGTAAAGCAGGACTGTACCTTCCTCCTTGTGGCTGTGACCTTTCCCAGGGGCTGCGCAGGGTCCTTGCTCCCTAGGGATGCTCAGAAGGACAACAGCCTGCTTCAGCAACCCTCCTCTCCGCAGGACTTAAATAATTTTCCTTTGTTCCATGTTACCTACCCCGCTTTTAATATGAGCATCTCCACTAGGTTCCATCCCCGGCATCTGGGGGCACGTCACAGGTAGGAGAGCAGGAACCTGGCATGTCCCAAGGGATGTGCAAAGTAGCCACAGCCGGTTTGGGAGGGGGAAAGTATCATGCATTTAATAAACTCTTCGAGGAGAGGAAGAAGGTAGGAGCGGAGAGAGAAGGGGGAAGTTTACAGACAGAAATGGAGATCTGGAGGCTAGAGGATGGGGACGGACCCAGCCCCCGTAAGGCTCAGCCGGGTTTGGGGCAAATTCTCACCGGAGGCTTTGGGTCACCACCTGCTTCTTCCTCCCTTGTTTCTTGGCTTCATAAATGGCAGGTCCCTTTCTAGGTGCTGTGGGGTGCCCCCTCCGACACGGGGTCAGAGTAGAGCATCACCCCAGCTCCGCTTGCCTAGGGGGTGGCTTGGGTTCACTTGCAGCCAAGGAAAGGTGAGACACTACATCCCCCCTAGCAATGCTTTGGCAGCGATGCTTGCCAAGGCTTCTGCTCCCCTTCAGAAATGCCCTCTCCGTGATTTTTTTTTTTTTTTTCATGGCCAGGAGGAGGATTTTGTTAGCTGGGTTGTCCTACTGCCGGCCTGAGGAGGTTCACCTGCCGTGGGGCACCAAGCCAGTTGGGTTACAACTGCCTGCTGCCAACCAGGATTCGTTTGGTCATCGTGTTGAGAGATCCAAAGGGCTCGCACTAAAACTATTTAAGAAAAAAAAAGTCCACCTAGATTTATTGAGCTTAAGTACTGTAAGATGATGCAGAAGAGGAAGCCCCTGCTCTGAGCATGCTGGGAGGACGGACCGGGGGGACCATTTCCCAGTGACATGCTGGAAGGGGGGTGCCGGAGCCGCCTCCCCTCGAGCGCACCGAGCACATCACTCTTTTACCGGTCCCCCTTCCCTCCCCACGTACTAGGGGGAGGGCGCGGTTCCCCCAAAAAAGAGACCAAACCATTCCCCTCGGGGCCGTGCGGCGGTTCCCTGGACATTGCTGCACGATGGAGCGTTGGCGCCGGGAGTGAGAGGCAGACACGGGCAGGAGGCCATGGGGTGGGGAGAGAGATGGAGACACGGACTGAGAGAGAGAGAAAAGAGTGATGGAGAGCTGTAGGCAGGCGGGACACGAGGGCTGTCTCGCTGCGAGACCTCTGGCGCTTAGCCGGAGGCGTTGATGTAGAGCTGACTCTTGAGGATGTAGTCGATGACGGGCTGGCAGAGGTAATCCACGACGTGTCCATCCCCGTGCTGCAGGGCCAGTCTGGGGATGTGGGGGGAGAGAAAAGGGTCAGAGCCCACTTGGGTGGGGCAGGTGCCCTCCCAAATGGAGGGGCCGGCTGGGGGCACCGCTCTCCCCGCTCTGTAGTGGGAGGCCCCC